AAAAAAAAGCAGGCAGAGAGCAAAGGACCAGTCACCAGTACTGCTTATGGGCTGACCTTTCCCGGAAAACTGACTTTCACGTCTTGTTTTGTCACTGTTGCTCTGTGTGGAAACGGCCATTTTGGTAGAGGCAGCACATGTCAGAGCTTTCAACAAAAAGAACAGTGAGCAGCACAAACTCCTGAGACTGGCAAGCAAAGGCAGTGGTGCCTTAGATCTCACACAGCAGATATTTAGCTATGACAAGTGCCCAGACCCTCACATACCAGGAAGTGCACTGCTATTTTTCTTGAGAAATTCAGGACAAAAAGTACAACTTTCAGGGTACTGCTTAGACACAATTAACATGTCTAAATGTCCCCTATAACATAGTAAATCTCCACCCTTTGAGTTCAGGTCCCCTTTAAACACTGCACCCTTATCTCTCCTCCCACTATCACTATCAGGCTGTGGGTGAACATATTAATAATAAACTGTGCTCTTTTGAAAATGTTTAACTACAGATGTATTTCCTGTCAGTATAATGTTTAATACATAACCAGGAATCAAACATTTCTTCCACAATATTGTTACAAAAATGTAACTTAATACTTATTTACAGTATCAAATATAATATGACTGGAAATAAGAATACTACGAGGACATCTAGTGGTAATAGATGGCAACTACATACCACAATATAATGTGACTGGAAATAAGAATACTACGAGGACATCTAGTGGTAATAGATGGCAACTACATACCACAATATAATGTGACTGGAAATAAGAATACTACGAGGAAATCTAGTGGTAATAGATGGCAACTACATACCACAATATAATGTGACTGAAAATAATAATACTACGAGGACATCTAGTGGTAATAGATGGCAACTACATACCACAATATAATGTGACTGAAAATAATAATACTACGAGGACATCTAGTGGTAATAGATGGCAACTACATACCACAATATAATGTAGCTAGAAATGACAGTCATAAACTTTGCAGAAGGAATCAGATGTAACCCATTTATAGAAAAATTAAATATCTCAAAGTGAATTCAGGTTTTCAATCTAAAAGTCCAATAAACGTATCTCCTGTAATCAAAACAAAAAGAAAGCACCACAGTCCATGGATGCCACCAAACTGCGTTTATTTGTGTCTTCTCATCCCAGTCACATGGATTCTCCCTGTCATGCTACAGGAGCGTGTCCAGAGAGTATTGATAAATGGCTCTTTTTCACAATGGGCTACAGTAATGAGTGGCGTACCCCAGGGTTCTGTGCTAGACCCAATACTGTTTAACCTGTTTATTAATGGTATTGGGGAAGGTGTTAATAGCCATGTATCTGTGTTTACTGATGATACTAAAATTGGGAGGGTAATAGACACGGACTTAGACACTATAATATTACAGGAGGACCTGGATAAAATAGGGGAGTGGGCAACTATATGGCAGATGAGGTTTAAAGGAGAACTATGAGGTGAGTGCTTTTCACTCACCTCATAGTTCTAGCCGACCTGTGACAATGAGACAATGAGACAGGTCGGCTCAGTAGATCGGGAAGTGAGCGAACACATACCGGCGTTCGCTCACCTCTTGATCCTGTCACGGATCTCTGCCATGACAGGGGAGGGGCTGGATTCCCCCCTCCCCGCTCTGATCCGCCAGTGCTGACTGGCGGAACGGACGGGGGAGGGGGCAGGTACAGCTGGCTCTGCCTCTAGATAGGCAGAGCCAGCTGTCAGTCACGCAGCTGGGCGGATCCCGGCACAATTGTCGGGATCCGCTTCAGCTGCTGCGTCTCAGTATACCGCGAGCAGCAGCTCACGGTATACTGCGGCGTCTTAGTATACCGCGAGCTACAGCTCACGGTATACTGAGCCTAGGGTGACGGGAGGACGCTAGTTTGTGTCCTCCCGTTACCCTAAGGAGAACTATGGGAAAAAGCCCTAACCCCATAGTTCTCCTTTAATGTTGATAAATGTAAAGTAATGCATTTTGGGTTTAAAAATAGGCAAGTGGAATACACATTCATGGGTACTCCTCTAGGGAAGTCAGAAATGGAAAAATATTTGGGGGTCATAGTCGACCACAGATTGAATAATAGCATGCAATGCCAGGCTGTGGCAAACAAAGTGAGCAGAATGCTGTCCTGTATTAAAAAGGGAATGTACTGTACAGATAAAATCTATAACTTTGGCACTTTATAGATCACTGGTTTGGCCTCATCTGGAGTATGCGGTCCAGTTTTGGTCATCAGTCCACAGAAAAGATGTCCATGAGCTGGAGAGAGTCCAGAGAAGAGCAACCAAGCTAATAAAGGGGCTGGAGGACCAAAGCTATGAGACAAGGTATCTAAAAATGTTCACGCTGGAAGTGAGGAGAATAAGAGGGGACATGATTTTGTTGTACAAAATGTTTAGTGGTGATGGCAACATCAGCAATAAACTTTTTACTGTAAACTCTGTAACAATGACTAGAGGCCACCACCTAAAATTGGTGGAGAAAAGGTTTAACCACAAAGGGCATAGGGGATTATTTTCAGTCAGAGTGGTTAAAATTTGGAACTCTCTGCCACAAGCAGTGGTATCAGCTGAGAGTATTGAATCATTCAAAAATCAATTAGATTCCATCATAAGAGACTGCAACATACAAGGGTACAGGTACTCTTAAATACTAGACCACACAGGGACTGTTGTACACACATGCACCTACAAGAGACACACACACACACAAAGGTTGAACTTGATGGTCCTGTGTCTTTTTTTCAACCTCAAATACTATGTAACTGTGTAAGATACACTTTATCACTTTAATAATAGTAATATAAAGTTGTGTTTCCAGATACACTTTAATAGTAGTAATATAAAGTTGTGTTTCCAGATACACTTTAATAATAGTAATATAAAGTTGTGTTTCCAGATACACTTTAATAATAGTAATATATAAAGTTGTGTTTCCAGATACACTTTAATAATAGTAATATAAAGTTGTGTTTCCAGATTCACTTTAATAATAGTAATATAAAGTTGTGTTTCCTGGGGCACTTTAATAATAGTAATATACAGTTGTGTTTCCAGATACACTTTAATAATAGTAATATAAAGTTGTGTTTCCTGGGGCACTTTATCACTTCCATTCCGGCACATTAGTGACACTCATCCACATGCCTGACACTTGGAAGTGAAGTCTAGCAGCTTTGGTTTCGTTTCTCTCCCTGATTACACGGAAGAAGGAGGGGGCAGGTCTACCTGGCAAGCAGTGCCAGTTCACAACCTGGCAAAGGGCTCTCAGGAATGGGAGATCGTGGCCATGGAAGAGGACGGGAACCAGCCACTCGCCCCAAGGAGCCGAGAGGCAGAGGAAGGACGGCTGCTAAGAGCAATGATGACCCGGGCAGAGCAAAGACACAAGTCGCTGGAAGGGCTCCGGGACAAAACAGCCCTAAGAAAGAGCCAGTGCAGAGAGGAGACCCCGGAGAGCGCACAGCGGTCCGAGCCAACACTACTGGAAGGAAGGGCAAGGACCAGCCCGACCACCGGCAGGGAAGACAGGACCAGCCCAACCCCCGGCAGGCAAGACAGGACCAGCCCGACCCCCGGCAGGCAAGACAGGACCAGCCAGTCCACAGGAGGAACAGTCTAAAACCCGTTTATGAGAGGCTGAAACTGAAAATGAAAGACATCTCCAATGCTGCAGACAAAGTCAATGGCATAGTAAAGGTCATCATCGATAAGCTGTCAGATAGAGAGCCTCTGTTCAAAGGGATGGAGAGAATGTCCACAGGGAGCTATTATGAAGGAATGAAGGTGAGACAATGCCGTCCATTTCCAGTGATAAATCCCCATCTTCTCTACTGTAGCTGGCTGTCAGCATTTATGTATTTGGAATTATTATAAGGAATTCTCAACCAGGGTTCCCCCAGATGTTGCTGGAGGGTTGAGCTGTGGCTGATGTGTACACATGTAGTCAGTAATACACAGTGTAGCACAGTTGTATGCATCCTGACCTATGTAGGTGACTTAGAGCTTGTGTAGTAATAACTCCCAGCATGGTGCCAGTGGCCTCATTAACAACTCCCAGCATTGGTGCCAGTGGCCTCATTAACGACTCCCAGCATTGGTGCCAGTGGCCTCATTAACGACTCCCAGCATTGGTGCCAGTGGCCTCATTAACGACTCCCAGCATTGGTGCCAGTGGCCTCATTGACAACGCCCAGCATTGATGCCACTGGCCTCATTGACAACGCCCAGCATTGATGCCACTGGCCTCATTGACAACTCTCTCAGCATTAGTGCCAGTGTCCAAAATAGTGACTCATAGCATCACTATCAGTGGGTGCAGAGATAACCCCCATCATTGGTGTCAGTGGCACACAATATTAACCCCATGTTTGGTGTCAGTGTATGCAATAATAATCCCCAGCTTTGGTTGTTGGTGGGTGCAATAAAACCCCCAGCATTGTTGTCAGTAGGCACAATTATAACCCCCAAATTGGTGTCAGTGGAAGCAATAATAATACAAAGTGCTGGTGTTAGAGAATGCAAACATAAACCCCAGGATTGATATTCAGTGGCAGTGATATCATAGATCCCCCTTTCATTGGTGGTCAGTGGCAGTGTTTCAAACATGTATTATTTAACATACTGCAGGTTTATATACACTTTGAGTTGTGGCTATGTTAGCCAGCTTTAGTATAAGTACAAGGACATACTGTATTTACAGAGGTTGTCTTCTCTTAGAAATAATTTGATTGGTCAGAGTGCTTGTGGTTATTGTAGTGCTGTGCACAGAATATGTTCTCTTTGTTCAGTGGTGGTATTTTTCTAAGTTACTAGTCACCAGTGGTTCATTAAAATCCAAGTCTGGAGTTCCTGTGCAGGAGAACAGATAAGGAGGCATACTTTTGAGGTTTGGGAGTCCTGCATTTTTTTTCTATCAGACATGGTAGCCCCAGTAGTAGGAGAAATCTGATTCTTGATGAGCTTGGAATGACATAAGGAAGTACACTTGTCAAAGAATTTGCGGTACAAGTGCTAACAATGCAAAAAGTGGTGCTTATAGTTGGGTGATAGCCTGTTTGACCATGGGAGCAACAAGTGTAGCATCCAGTGACCAGCATATGGCTTAGCTAAAGCCAGCAACCTGACTGGAGTGAGTGTGAGTTTCTGTCAGCTGTTGTACAGGTAAGCGACCCTAAGGCTTTGTTCACACCAAATGCAGAGCAGATCTGCATGAGTTTCTGGACACGCAGTGCAGTGGGTTGTGCCGCATTTTTGTTGCGTTCTGGGCCGTTTCTGGTTAAAAAAATAAATATATATATATTTTTTAGTTGAAAATGGGCTTTCAGTGCGTTCCAGGCATTTTTGATGCGTTCCAGAGCAGGTAAAATAGGGCCTGCTGCAGTTTTTTTACCTGCTCTGGAACTGAACGCTGTGATGTGAACTGGAGCTAAAAATACAATTGGAATACATTGAATGCAGCTTTTCTCCGGTCTGTAACTGCTCCGCACTTGGTGTGAACAAGGCCTTAGACCAAGGGCTAATGCCAACTGACACAAATACAGACATATCAGAATACAGCGGAAAATACTGTATTTGCACTGCCCTGGCAGCACCAGCGGTTTTGCATTTGTGTCCACATACTATGTACACAATCTGCTGTAAGCAAGTGTGCTTGTGTAAACGCAAGTACCGGCGTTTATACATGCATGCATATGGGCATAAGTTTCCAAGCTGGGGCATATGGGCATTTTTCTCTCTATATGCCCATGCACCTGTATTTGTGTGTGGTGAGATGAGCCCTAAGTCAGACACTGTGACCAATCCTTTTGGATCTCTTTCTGCTGCAAGGTTTTGCCAGTGGTATTCTTGATAAATTATATTTTCCTTGTGGTTGTGATGGCATTTGCCCCCCACCGCTTCTTTGCGGGCTAAATTCCTTGCTGGGTAGGTTCCTGCAACAATACTATAGTGTAGCTGCCATTCATGTCAGGGTAGCTCAGCACTGAGAGATGTGGTGCTGTGTGTGGTGCATGAATTGTATTACATATAAGAAAGAATGGCTCAGTAAGCCCTGTTCAGGGTGGAGTATTTGCTTCAAAATTGTCTTCAGCTTATTAACATGCTTCATGTTATGAGCTGCCAACAGTCTTTGGTCCAGGGTGAAACAAGTCCTTCCAGGCCCTTGATCCCTTAAGACTAGCTTAATACAGTCCACTGCATGTCATTTTAGGGCAACCACCCTGGAGCATAGAGACTAGCTTTATATAGTCAGACGCATGTCCTTCCATGGAATAAAGGTCACTCCAGTCTAGAGACTAGCTTTATATAATGAGCAGTCCATTGCATATCTTTCTTTTAAACTAGGCCTATTAGATACACCAGCTTTAAAAAGTAATAGGTAGGAATGGACTTTGTGGAGGAATTGTATCTTTAATACAATATATGTATTTTGCTCTGTCATTATCAGGTGGAGTTGTGTTTGCGTAACCGCTGGCATGTATTCCCTTGCTCCCTCTGTTACAGGTGTCAACAGTTACTCCCCATGTCTTATTCCAAATATCAATGGTTCAGTATGTAGCATAGTCACACGAGTGATAAACTAAAGGTGGCCATACACTCTACAACCATCGCAAGACTTTAGTCTTGCGATGGTTGTAAAGGGATTTAAAAAAACGTACGATCTGCCTATCTTGGACAGGCAGATCGCACTCTCGATCATCGCAAGCCCGCCCCCCTGAGGGGCGGGCTTCCGATGACCGCAATGCTGAACGGGCAGTGTGCGCGTGCGCACACCGACCCGTTCAGCATTTATCTTCCGAGCACCGTTCTAACCAGCCGAGAATCGTACGATTCCCGGCTGGTTTTCGAACATGCTGGTTCGACAGAAGACGTGCGACCGGACAGTAGAAACGGTCGCACGTCTCCGTTCACACTGCTCGATTATCGTACGAAAAACCGATCGCATACGATTATCGTACGATAATCGTGCAGTGTATGGGCACCTTTAGGCAGGCACTAGGGTTGCCAACTCTACCGGTTTGGCCGTCCTATATGTATTGTTTCCGGTTGTCAGGCCAGCTTCCACCCAGACACATAATTGTCAAGTGATTTGAGTCCCTGAGCGCAGCATAAATCTTCCTATTGGTGCTGTCTCAGTTCCTCTGCCCTGCAGCCCTTTCATAATGTAATCTGTGCTGAGAGGCTGTGTGTGCAGTAAAGCTTGTATCTCCACTTCTTAGTTGCAGAATGTTAGTAATGCCTCTGGGAGCCGACAGCATTGAATTGCCTCTGAATCACCAGCTGCTGTGAGTATTTCAGGCTCCCTCTGCTGAACACCCCCGTGGTGCATCAATGCCTGCGTTCCGGTCTGGTGCTGCCAGAAAAAATAGTGCATGCAGCATCTTTTCTGACCGCACCGGAACGCAGACACCGATGTGCCAAGCGTTCCGATGCATGGCTGCGGTGCCATTGACTTCAAAACGCTGCCACTGCCGGCCAGAATGCGAACCAGTGCGTTTTGGCACCAATCGGGCCGGAATGTACTGGGGCTGGTGGGAACTAGCCCTATGGAAGTCATTAAAAAAAAAAAAAAACTTAGCCTTGCAGTGGCACTACAGCCCGCACTGTAGGGGTTAAGGGTCCAGTCACATAGTGTGCACTTGGCACATGTTATCGCACAAGGAAGAAGAAGAGAGGAAGCAGTTAAAGGTGCCAAATAGTGCAAGTGCTGACATGAAACATGCTGCTAGGAAGAGAAAGTAAAGTGACAGAGAAATGAGCTCATCCCTGTGCTGCTTCTCTTTTCACTGAGGCAGGTCCAGGATGACCTGGGCTCAGAGGAAGTGGGTGAATGATGCTGGAAATCAGACTGATCAGACATCGAGTGGCAGATAAAAATAGTGCGGGGACATCTCTGAGTTGAAGGTGAATATTGCAGCAAAACATATGCAGGTGAATATTGCAGCAAAAACATTCTTATTGTATCCTTTAATGGGGATTCTTAATTTTTATCTTGTTATGTTTGGCTAGAATTCTGCTCTAATACTTAAATTGCTGCCCAGCAGAGATGAATAATTACATTGATGGTCAGCGGAGATTAAAGTAGAACTAAGGCCAAACCTTTATTTTCTACTTTGGTTAGAGAGGTGAGGAGTTAGAAACGGTCAGGTCACTGTTGGGACACACAGTATCTGCCTGCGGGGAGATTTTACGTCTCTCTTTGTCCAAGTAAAGGTTATGGAGTATAGAAAAGGGTTGAAGGGAAACCTTCCAGTAGAGACACTTGTTTCCGTGACATTAGGTCCCCATTTTGTACCTGAATGGGCAAAGCACTACAACACTCAGAGGATTTCCATTGTTTTCAATGGCAATGCTTGTCACTGGATAAAGTACAGGAGCTACTTTTCTGCAGAATGCTGCATTTTGACCCCATAGACTTCCGGGGGAATGCCTGGAGACGCATGACATTTTCTAGCGATTTGAAAGCATATTGTTGTGCATTTGTCCTACAAGAAAGAGCCTTCCACTTTGCAAGATTGTAGTCTATCACAGGAGTGGAAATGCAGGACAGCACAAGCTGAAGACATCTGAAAAGGCGCTTTAAAAAACACTTGACAAACGCACATCGACACACGTAAAACACTTTTAAAACACTTAAAAAAAAAAAAAACGCCTGAAAAACACCTGGATGCTCCGCCCAGCTGTCATTTGCGTGGAGATCGGTCGAGCCGAAGTATATGCCTTCGGCTCGGCTGCTGTTCGGGCTCTTGTGAATAGAGCCCGTGCAGCAGCCCTTTGGTTCCACTGAACCGAAGCATAGAGGCAGCTAAAGAGAACTAAAGGATCAGCAGAAGCTACGCTGGATACTTCACCTCTTTAGTGAATAACCCCTTTTAGTTGTTGTACATGTACCTTCAGCTCTGGCAATCAGACACCTGTAGTATCTGAAGTCAACCACAAGATGTCACCAGTAAACCACAAATACACGCTTTGTCTTAGTTGAGGTTTTGATATTTGAAGATAAAATATTTGTTGAAAAAATTAAATCTGAACTTCAGGTGACTATTAAAATGAGTAAAGAAAAACTCCCTTTAATGTAGTTATGTCATGTTTAATAAATCATAAATGTAATTATCTCATCTTAAAAAATATGATAGGTGTCCGCAGCTCAGTTTGTCTGGATCACCTACCCGTAAATCCCTGCACAGCAACACTAGATAAAGGTAGGGAAAGCAGCATCAAGCCAGCCATCAACATCAGTGTGCTGCAGCTTCACTGTCTAATAAGCAGGATGGAAGAGGAAGGGGATAGAGAATATAACAGAGAAAGTGATTTCACTCTCCATGCTATGCAGTGTGGAAGGGGAGTGTAAATCACAAGTGCCTGAGCAGAGTCAAAGATATTTGGCAGGTTGGCACATCTGGTCAGAGGGGGGCAAAGGATAGCCCTTTCTGTTGTGCCAAAGACGTAGTCTTTTCATTTATGTCACATTCTAAGAGTATATGAGCAAGAATGGGAAGTAGAGGGGAAAAAAGGGGTGCAGACTAGGTCCATCTTTGGCATGAGACGATTCAGAGAAAGGGGATCAAGTGGTCATATCTAGATGTGTGCTTAGACTTCTCTGGGGCTAGGAGAATCTTTTCAGTTGATCTAGATGTGTGCTTAGACTTCCCTGGGGCTAGGAGAATCTTTTCAGTTTATCTAGATGTGTGCTTAGACTTCCCTGGGGCTAGGAGAAACTTTTCCGTTTATCTAGATGTGTGCTTAGACTTCTCTGGGGCTAGGAGAAACTTTTCAGTTGGTATGCATACGAGTTTTATTTAGTCCATACTATTTGGAGGCGGTGTCATAGTTGAAGATCTCTATAATGCTATGTATGTGCACAATTCTTAAACGGGCCATTAGAATGTAAACAGTGTATAGAAATGACAACAGGTTTTGCCTGTTTTTATGAGGAAATGCTGGAGCGCTGCCCATTCAGAATAGCTTACATGTGGCAGTAGCAGAAGGAATGTGCACTTGCACTTTATGTAGCCAGCAGCTCTTTTTAACTTGAAAATGTAACTTTAAAGCAGACCTTTACCCAGATCTTTAAAATAACATCAAACACACCTTTAGAAATGTTTAGTATTGGCAATCTACAAACACATACTTCTAGATAATTGTTGGCTTTGTTTTATTTGCAATCCTTATTTCTCTTTTCTTCCCCCGTCTTCTGACAGTGGCCATGTTTACGAAGGGTAGATTACTAGCTTTCCTATTACCGTATATACTCGAGTATAAGCCGTCCCGAATATAAGCCGAGGTACCTAATTTTAGCAAAAAAAACTGGGGAAAAGTATTGACCCGAATATAAGCTGAGGGTGGGAAATGAGGCAGCTACTGGTAGATAGATACCAATAAAATGACATTAATATTTATTTAGGATTTCTGGCACATGGGACTATGCACAAGCCTGGTTTTCCTCTCACCTTATTTTTTTCTGCAAATTGTACATTTTCTCAGTGTTTAATGTTTTCTATTGTAAATAAAATATGGGGTTACGAGATTTACAAATCATTGCATTCTGTTTTTATGTAGATTTTACACAGTGTCACAACATTTTTGTAATTGGGGTTATAGTCAACTGATGCAAAAAATTAAAAACACTTTTTTTCCCCCCTTTCTTTTAGATTTCTAGGCCAAATGAGTTTGATATCATGTTGAAAATACCAATCTCTGACCATCAAAGAATTGGTTTGACAGAGTTTGGTGGGAGTGGCGCTTTCTATACACTATCCTGTAAGCGCTCTGTAGTAGACTACGGTATGAATAAGTATGTAGACGATCACGGAAACATTTCAGCTATAAAAATTCTGACGCAGTTAAGAAAGCTTGTAAATGAAGCGGTATCTGGTAAGTCACTTCTTTTTTACTATTGAAATATTTGTAGATATTTTACAATGCATAGATATTCTGATCCGTTAAAACGGGATTGTACTGCAGCAAGAAAGCAGAAGGCTTCTCCTGTACATGGTCAGCTCTTTTATGTGATAAATGGGGTTTCTTCATTCCCCAGACAAAAACATTTCTTGCAATAGGGTGTTCCAGACAAACAAGAGTGAACACCTACAGGGTTATTCACAAAAGGGTGAAGAGTTTGGAGAAGGCAGGAGAAGTGAACAATCTAGGCCAACATAGCTGAACTGGAAAGTGAGCTGAATTGGAGAATTTCTCCAAATCAGCTATGTTGTCCTAGATTGTTCACTTCTCCTGCATTCCCCAAACTCTTCACCCTTTTGTAATGTTTTTCCTCTCTATTTACTGGATGTAAACGAACTGCTGTTGTAACTAGATTAAGTGCCTTCTTTAGAATATTTCCTCAGGCGCATGTGAGGCAAGAAAATGACAGAGTCAAAATGCCAGTGATTTTGTTTAAGACTATGATCCATTATTATGGGTCTGAAATGTTTTTTGCAGCTCATAATCACTGCAGAATGAAAAAAATAGAACTCATACAAGGATGTGAGCAAGAGTTTATTAAAGGTGGTGTGGAGAATGCTGGCCATACCAAGCACATTAGCTTGCACCTGACCCATTCTACAAGCAAAGGAGTGCACCCTGAACCAGGTTTTCTAATTTACTAGAATGTTTACTCAGTGGAAGACACTATCCTTTTCTCAGGCCAAATCTAACTTGGTTATAGATTTATGCTAGAACTATACCATTTTCCAAAATATTGGACCACATACTACAAATGACTATGAATTTTAACACACGTTAATAATCATTAAAGGAAACCTTTAATGCAGGGAATATGGATTGGGGGTGCCATCCTGCAGGTTCAGTATTTGCGATACAGGCAAATTTATGTGCAGTTTGGTTTAGGAGAATGTTTTTGAAACCATAATGCCCTACATGGCCTTTGAATTATAAGAAGGTATTTTGAATAAGGCAGCCCCCCTCACTAATAAAACAGAGGCACGGAACAGCCATATTTTCAGTGTACTGGTAGCTGCTGTAAGGAAGCGGAAAGGAAAATTGACACATTTCACAGACAGATTAGGGTCAGTTAGGAATCTGTACTTAAAAGAACTCCAGGAAAAACTTTTATTAACTCTTGGAGTTAGGCCACCCCCACACTGTAAGCTTTAAGTGCTCCTTTTTGCCCAGGTTCAAAAATATCAAAGTTATACTCACCTGAAACTCCGAGCCAGGCCACCTGTCACAGCGCTCCCTCCAGCCTCTCTCCTACACTGCAGCATTGGAATGTTTCTCAGCATCCTCATGTGTATACACAGTGCATAGAATGTGATGATTTATGGGACCTTTGACTGCTGTCATGGAAGGGGAGAGAGACTGGTAGGACATATCTAAGAATAAGCCAGCTCCGAGGATCAGGCGAGTATAACTTTTCTTTTAGCACCTAGACAAAAATGAGCAGTTAACCCTAGCAGTGCGGCAGTAGCCCCACTTCAATGGTTAATAAAAGGTTTTCCTGGAGTTCTTCTTTAATTATGGTTGCTAGCCTTTTTTTGTTGTTATTGGGAGCTTTTTTGCCTTTGTGGTAAACCGCATTGGTCAAAACTAGGGATGCACCGATACCACTTTTTTAAGACCGAGTACTGATACTTTTGATCAAGTACTCGCAGATACCAATTACCGATACCTTTTCTTAAAGGGACAGGTCACATTTTTTCTAAAGCAATACAAACTAATGCTTTAAGGTCACTTTCTTAATATTATGATTCATGAGATGACGAGGGAGCATGACGCCGGCTTCCCGGCCAATCAGAATGCCGGGCGCTGCGTCATAACACGACGCCCGGCTTCCGGATTTGCTAGCTTCCTGAACAATCGGGAAGCCGGGTAGCGCGTCATTGCACGCTACCCAGCTTCCTGATTGGCCGGGAAGTCGGCTCCATGCTCTCTCATCACAAGTTACGAGAGAGCATGGAGCTGTTTCCTGGCCAATCAGGAAACCGGGCAGCGTGTAATGATGCACTGCCGGCTTCCTGATACAGGAAGGACTCGTGCTAGGTATCGGAGCATTTGGGTGAGTACGAATACTCACCCAAATACTCGGTATCGATACAGATACTAGTATCGGTGCATCCCCAGTCAAAACACGTTAGCGTTGAGGTCTGTTTTATTCTTATTTGATGTTAATAAAAGTTTGATAAGATTCAAGGAGTGCTAGTGTTTTACATTTCTACTGTGCATGAGCGTGAAGGGAATGCTGCTGTGCGCCATTTGATAAAAGTTAGGTGTTGAGTGCCGGGCGAGCGGATCAGTGACAGCAATTTGAGGTTAGCAGTTCATTTTAGTGGCTGTCCCATCCATAGAATCCATAATTTTTCTTGCAAGGTTTCCCTTAATACAAAAACAACAAAATGTACATTTGTTTCAGGAGGGTGGTATCTTGCAGTTTATTTCTTTTCATTAAGTTTTGTTTTGTTACATTACATTGGGTCTTTAGGTTTGGGTTGATCAAAGCATTTATTGTTACCATCTGTTCTGAGATCTGCATTTGATTCACAGAATGATGTTGCACTGTTTGAAAGAAGAAAAATTGGTGCAAGAATAGTGTTCACCAAAACCACCTAACATTAGATCACTCACATCTCCCATAATAAAAAGAAAAGTTAGCCATATGCTGGTTTGATTAAACCAGTCTTGCTGATGGAGTGTTACACTACTGTATTCTTTACAGTATCATAATTCCTGTAGTAAAGCCCAGTCTGTTCTTCTTGTCTCTAGTAAATTTGGGCTTAGCTTTGCTCATTAAAATAGTCTTCCTGCTGGTAAATGTTACACTACTGTGTCTTCTTGTAGTAAAACACCTAGCTCTTTTTTTTTCTAGTAAATTTTGCCCAATTTCATCTCATTAAAAATGTCCTGATGCTTGCCAATTTTATACTGCTGGCTCTCCAATTTTGTAGAGAATTTAAAAGAAATTGGCCATTGGCAGGGCAGTGTTCAATCAGGAAGAACATGGACAGCTCAACAAACTTCTATCTGCTCTGTGAAAGTGGGCCAATTACTGTTTAATGAAAAATCATGTGCCACTGCCAAAAGCCTTTTTTTACATTGAACTGAATCAGATTGGCATTGTGCTGCTGTATGTAATCCAAGCTAATTTGAAAATAAATCAATCAATTCCGCAGACAAATAGGCACTGCTGGTGTACGTTGTTAGTGACACTGTCCATGAAAATCAGTGTTCCACAACATCTTTTAAGCATGTTTTTTTAAAGGATATGTGTATTTTCAATGTTGCCCTCAAAGCCACATATAAAAGACCCTCTGCCTGCTGTACAGTATTTTTTTATTTTTATGCATTGGTTCATGTCCCTATGGCAGTGCTCAGCTTCCCGTGTCTTTTTTTTTTTTTTACAGTAGTTTGCCTATTGGCCGTAAAAAATGGGCAGAATTTAATAAAGGGATTTGCTCCCTAAAGACTTCACTGGAATTTGCCACTAAGTTTAGGATCACTGGTTTGCAAACCGGATTCACCAAACCCTTGCCGAATCACCTCCCTCACCATTCACAAAACACACAGCCCCAGGCAGAGAGATGTGACCATAGAGCTGGGGTTTATTGAGACCTGCAGTGCTTACATACCAGCTGCCTGAGGGTTAGTTTACACCAGAAACTGCATCACAACTTCGTGCGTCTGCATAGTTGCATTGCGATCAGTTTTGTTTTTTTACTAAAATGCTGATTAGACAATTAGGTCACTTCCTTTTTCCTGTCAGAGCATTTCCTTCATTTGTTTTGGAACTCAGACATGCTTCCTTTGTTGGCTGGCATGTTGACAGTGTTGGCTATACCTACAAAGATAGAAGTCCCTGGATGATGACACCATCAATTCTGTGTTTTGGTGGGGTTTTTTTTTTGATGCGTTCCGTTGTGTTATGATGCGATCAGATGCAGCTAAAATAGGACAAGCAGTATTTTTTCTGACTGCAATGGTGTGAATACAGCACAAGAAAGCCCGTAGGAAAGCATTGTGACGTATTTTGGCTGCAGCAGCCAAACTGAACGGACTGCATCACATCTGCATATGGTGTGAACTAACCCTAAAAGTTCAGCTCAAAGTGCGCATACCTCCCTCTCCAAAATTATATTACATAACCAAACTGCTATAGAGATCTAAGACAGAAAGAATAAAGGAATATTAGGAAAAACATATGTTAAATATAAAGAACCTGGTATGCAGAATTCCACAGGCAATAATAGCCAATAGTACATCGTCTGATATAGCGGATGTGGGTCTGGAATATAGCATATAATGACATAATGGGGTTGATTTACGAAAGGTAAAGAGGCTGTTCACTTGCAAGGTAATTTTCCCTTAGCTTAGTAAATGAAAGGTTTTCTAAACCCTCCGTTTTTTTCACATATATCTACTGCTAGTTAGCAGTAGATATATGCAAAAAGTTTTTTAAAAACCCGCTTTAACATCGGTTTAAACTTACCCCGTCTTTGCCGTGCGCTCCCGTCCGAGAATCCGAAACTGCTCGGGCGGCCGAGCAGCATCTTGGGGCGGGCGCATGCGTAGTTCGGATTTTCGGCCGGGAGAAGGTAAGTCTATGGACGCGTGCACCCGCATGCACACCGTGGGATTGGAAGTGCCAGCAAGGAGAGAGGAGTCAGCGCTGGATCGGAGACCCGCCGCCGCGCTGGAGAGAAGGCGGAAAAGGACAGGAAAGAAGAGGAAAGAAAGAAAGAAGAAGAGGAGGAAAGAAAGAAAGAAGAAGAGGAAAGAAAGAAAGAAGAAGAGGAAAGAAAGAAAGAAGAAGAGGAAAGAAAGAAAGAAGAGGAAAGAAAGAAAGAAGAGGAAAGAAAGAAGAAGAGGAAAGAAAGAAGAAGAGGAAAGAAAGAAGAGGAAAAAAGAGGAAAGAAGAGGAAGATCGGATTAAGAGACATCATTTAAGGTAAGTGCTGACATTAACATTGGGGGAGGGAAAATGTTTTATCTTTTAATGTCACTTTAAGTGAAGCGATGCTGAAACCTATCACCAAATCATGTGGAAGCAAAAATACTGTTTTTTAAAAAAAAATACTTTCCATGCATGCGATTGGATATTCTGTGTAAAGCGAATTTTCACCACATTCACTAAGCTAAGAGAAAAATTCACTTGCGGAGTGAACAGCCTATTTGTCTATAGTAAATCAACCCTAATATCTCATAGACGGCAATAAGTCCCATGTGCTTATCCATCCTCTAGGAAGAAGTAAATTAGCATTATAATTGTAGTCCTAATAGGTACACTTTAAGATGCAGACATTTTTAATGACTGTCTGAGCTGATGCAGCTTGGTGTGAAAGGAAACCTGTGCCAAGAGAAGTAGAGACAACCACCGCTGATCTCTCCATCTGACAAAATGCTACTTGCCTGGTTATCAGCGGTCATGCTTAGCCAATTACTTCAGTAATTCCACGTAAAATGTTGAACTCTAACATACAAGTGACTAAGCGTTAGTAAACACTACTTAGTGTAGGGGCTTCTTCTCAGTCAGAGTGGTTAGATTTTGGAAGTCTCTGCCACAAGCAGTAGTATCAGCTGAGAGTATTGAATCATTCAAAAATCAATTAGATACCTTCCCCAGAGACCGTACTATACAGGGGTACAGGTACTCTTAAATCCTTAGACCCCAAGGGACTCATATACACACTACACATAAAGGTTGAACTTGATGGACCTGTCTCTTTTATTCAACCTCAAATACTATGTAACTATGTTAAAAGTTCTGCAGTCTTAATGTCACATATGGTTTGTCTGCATTGGTTTCGTTTCTATCTTTCTCAAACAGGACGGCCAGTTTCTATAAAGAGAAGAAACCCTTCCAGCCCTGCCTTGACTCTCATAATTGAGAATAAGCCAACCAACATAGATGTGGATCTCGTTATTGCCCTAGAAATCAGGCAGAGCTGGCCTGCAAACACAAAAGACGGGATGAATATAGACAGCTGGCTTGGGAGAAAGGTGAAGAGAGATTTCAAGTTTTTTCCATTCTATATGGTACCTAAGAAATGCAATGACGGAAACACAACCAATGGTAAGTTTTGGAGATGGATGCCAGGTTTAGAACAAAAATATTAATCACAGTTCTTGCATTAATGCCAGTTTAAATCAGAAGAGAAAATAAAATGGTGGTGACCATAGATCCAGGGGTGAGATATGCATCAATGAGAACAATGGGCAGTATGACACCTTATCAAATATTATCCACAATATTGGCATAGCACATCATTTTATTGCCGCTTTTCAGTTCTTTTTGATGCCTCTTTTTAGTGTAAAACTGAATAGTGGCCACCTTAGCAGGCTGGGCCAAGTGCAAATATGGGATCCTAGAGGTAGTTACAGTAAAAGGTACCCATACAGTGGTTGAATTTGCCTGTTTTTAATGTACCGGCCGAAATTTTGTGGGGCTGTTGGCTCTTTCAGCCTGCATTCCTCAATCAGCTGATCGAAGAAGGCGGCTGGGAAATTTTCGCTCGATCAGAGCCGGCAGCCAATGAGCTGCGTGCTTTGATCTGGTATTCTGGCAGGGGCCGGTGGCACCTGCGTGAATACAAAGTAAACAGCAGGATTCCTCATTCGACGTGCTGTTAGTGTTGATGGTGGAATCGGGCCAATTTTTTTCCGTTCAGCCCACAGGTTGAACAAAAAAAACTGAGGTGTATGGCCAGCCTTAGCAGCAGTCTGTTAGGAGTGCCATATGTAGATCAAAAAAGAACTAAAAAAAAATGAACTTCACTAGTGGATTCTATTTTTACTTTTTATCAAAGTGTTCCATTACATGGCCCTCCAAGGGGATTGGGGAGGAGGTCTACCTAAACAGATTCACATCCATTGACCAGTTATAGAACATCCCTAACAGCTTACAAAACTGTATGCATGTCCCACTTATTTAAAGTGTGAGCAGATCAAGTAAATATTGTTTAACCGCCTCCCGGCCGGCCGTTGTAAAATTACGGCTGGCCGGGAGTTCCCTAAATCTGAGCAGGCGTATTTAAACGTCCCACCAGGACCGCGCGAGCAGGAAACTACCTACATTTAAAAACAGGCAGCGATGCCTGCTAACATACAAGCGATCCGCTGGCTATAGAGCTGGCGGATCGCTTGTATAAGCTGCCAGTCCGTATCCCTCCCCCGCCGTCACACTAGGCCCGGGCTCCGCTGTGCCCGATGCGAGCCTGGGACCAGCATAGTGCCTCTGTAACAGGCGATCAGAGGGAGGTCGGTACATGATCTACCTCTGGTCCCCTCTCCGGTGTCAGAATGCGGAAGTGTATGTTACGTGCAAAAGCGATGATCTCTGCAACGTCAGGGGTCTCCAGGGGGCTTGATGTCTCCATAAAGAGGACCTGTCACATCTCTTTGCTATCACATGGGGGGGTTTCTTAGCCCCCTATGTGATCGCAATAAAAAAAATAAAAATATAGGGGGAAAAAATGAAAGTTGCAAAAACAAATTTTTTAAGGTGCACATGAAAAAGAATACATACATACATACACGCAGGCAAACATGCATCGGGTGCGCATACGTGCAAAAGCGACTATTGCGCCCATTACGCCACACGTTACATATCGCCACGAACGTCGCAGTGACAGCAATATTTCTAGGGCCATCAATTACTGATAACACTAAACTGATGAGCTGTAAAAGTTTTTAAAGCGTCGCCTATGGTAAATTTTGGGTATGGTAGTTTTTTTGCGATTTTGCGGATGCGTGCAATTTTAAAGCTTGACATGTTTGGTGTTTAATTGTTTCCTAACATAATGTAAAAAAACTAATTTTTAGTAATTTTTCCTCAATACAGAAATAAAAGAAAAACCCTAGTGGTGAATAAATACCACCAAAAGAAAGCTCTTATCTGTCCCCAAAAAATGGTATAAAATTAATTTCAGTACAGCGTTGCAGGACGCAATAAATGTCAGTCAAAGTACGCAGCGCTGAATACTGAAAAATAGCCTGGCCAGGAAGGGGGTGTAAACACCCTGGTCTTCAAGTGGTTAATTTCAAACTGTCAGGAGAATTCTATAGTTGGTTGATTTCACACTTTGTAAATCAATATTTCCGTTACAGATATGAAGTTGTTTGAAATATTCTAGACTTGTCCAAGTAGCTGCTGATAATGCCACAGGCTATTAAACCGGTTCTATAGTTCCATTGTAGACATGTGGCCAGAACATCTTGGAATTCCCCTGTCTTTTGTCTGTTCATGCACAGGGCTTGATTTTCACTTGTGGGGAATTCAAGCTTCACGTGAATAATTCAAGCTTCACCTGAATAAACTAACACACCCAGTTTTGTAAAGAAAAAGGAAAACCTGTGTTTTTTTCTTTTAGACATTTTACAACTCTTTTCTATGTATGGAGTAATACGATCATTCACTTTCACTGAGAGAGCCTTGTCCACATGCAATCACAATGCATGTACATTTGTCACAGCAAGATTATGGCTTAATGTAATAAGTATTTGAATTATAGTAAACTCACAATTATCTTGTATTGCTCTTATTGTTCTAAACAAACAAAACATTAAATCCTTTTTGTCGTTTTGGGTTACTGCACATGGTATTTCATTGTTGCACCGTGCACTGACTCATGTGGCTGCTTGTACATACGATGGTACACCTATTACTTCTGTAAGGAGTTACAGGTTTATTCATTACACAAATGCTAAGTAATGATAATATTCAGTGTGGGCTAACCCAGCCAGATACTGTTTTACTGTAGTCATACGACTAAAAGATTAAAGCTGAATCCCGGGGAAACTTTTACATACTGTTGTAGCTATCTATGCCATCACTAATAGGGTGTATGCCGTGTGTGGAGGGCTGCTGCATAGTATAAAAATCTTACCTTGCAGCCTGACCACTCTGACACATAGTGCTGTATTGGTTGAGAGATGCTGCTAGAGTAGTAAAGGGCTCAAGTAGTATCCCCGCCCCCTCCACACTCCTTGGCCATTCACAAAAAGCCTTGCATTTTTCTCACAGAATACAAGGGATTCTGTGAATGGGTGAGAGGAGGGGAGAGGGAATGCAACGTGATCTCTCATCTTTCCAATCACAGAACAGAGAGTTTGCAGTCACTGCCGATAGGTGGAGAAGGATGAGCTGAGCTGCTTTACAGAGCAACTTTAATGCTTCTGCTTTGAAGTTTCAGAGTGAATTACTCCACAGTAACTGCAGCTACAAAGATCAGGGAGGGTTTGTTTTAAAGCATATTCACGGCCTATTAAAACTATTGCTTGAATATTGATGGGCACAGGTTCACTTTAAAATGACCTTATTATGCTGTTTTTTTTTGCAGATACATGGAGAATTTCATTTTCACATATTGAAAAAGAAATCTTAACAAATCATGGGAGTTCCAAAACCTGTTGTGAAGCTGATGGAGAAAAGTGTTGCAGGTTAGTTCAGTAGACATACAACACACACAGGGAAACAAAAGAAGCATCACTTTAGGACTTAATATTGTAAAAGTAAATGTATTTGCCTGGCTGGCACAACAATTCACAGGTTACCATTCTTAAGTTAGCCACAGCTAGATTTCTCTTGTTCAGCCTGCACGTGATGTCTCTATCTACGCTAAACACTGTGGATGAGGAATCTCCATTGCTGGCTATTATATGCAGTAATATTTACAAGACAGTTGTGGGTAGCTGGACCAATGGCCCCCCAGGTGTGATCTCTCCCCCTACAAAATCAGTTACAAAACAACAGGAGGAAATACCGGGGTTTCACGAGAGATATGACACCATGGCTTGAAGTTTGATAAAACAATTGTTTATTTAAATGACATATAGTAACATTCAAAATTAAATGAAAACAGGGGCAACTACAGTTGCAACCGAATAAAAACCAGGGTTAAACTCAAGGCATAAACCCATTAGACATATTCAAACATAGCTATTGTGGATAAAATATAATATAAGTCCAAACCCTACGCGTTTCACAACTTGGCTTCTTCAGGGGATTGCAACCTACCCACCCAATTGGAGTGGCTGTTTGAATACCCGACCGGTGACTACATCTGATTGGTTGCAGTCACTGTTTGGGCGTCTGTCTTTCGTCTGCCTCCTTTGATATCGTAATCAAGATGGGTGGGTCGATTCAGCAGGAATTGGCCAAAATTTGAGCCGCGTATGCCTAGCATTAGTCACAGTCCAAGAACAAGTATGCAGATCAAAATGTCTTATCTCACTCTGCCTTCACTGGCTGCCTGCTTTTTATGATGTTCTGGTTAGTAACTCAGTGGCTAATAAAGTCAGAATATTTGGGTGACAGGCAGGCAGCTGGACATTTAGAGGCAAGGGTTGGCAGGCTACATATATCTTGCAGTACATGTTTCCCTTAGATTTTTAGCACATATACTGTATAAATGTATGAAACCATTTTCTAGAAAATCAGAGAAGTCAAAACAACAGTAGTGGTAAAGAAATTGCAGTCTCATTGTCTCATTGTCAGCACTTCTCCTATGAGAAAAATAGTGTTGGCATCAAGTAAGTAAAAGGAGAAACAAGGGAAAAAACATTTCCCTTTGTATTATTATCATAGGCCTTCCCAGTCATTCTGCATGCTGCGATGCTAACTTATATGCTACTTTTAAAAGAAAGACTTTTGTAACACATAACAGTCGATTCCTGGAAAAATAACTGATAGTTGACATGGATATTATGCAATAAGTCCACCAACTGTATTTAAAAGTCATTATAGTCTGACTGTGATATTAAAAAGGAAAAAGCTGCACACCACTATTATACAGGATTTATATAGCTCCAAAATTTTGCGCAGCGCTATTCAACATTTGCAAGTTTTTATCCATAAAATGTCTCTGCACCTAAGCCCATACGGGTGATATGTGTCAAAGGCGGGTGGCTACTGGGTGGGGAGTCCCATCATCTTGGAAGCTGGAAGTTTTATGGATTAATGATGGTGAATTGCAGTGTGCGGCTTTTTCAGTTGTATTCTGCTGTCCCGGAGCATGGTCGGCCTTTTTTCCCCCCCACAAAATCTTGCAAATCGGCTTTAAACATGGCCAGAAAAAAAATAGCAAGATTCGGCTCCTATGTGGATTTCCCAATAGGTTCAGCGAACATCAAGCAAACAAAACTTTGCTCGGTTCACTCATGTGATTTACACCTGCCTCAGACTTCCCGGCACCATAGTGACTAAATTATGAAAATAGAATGTGGTTTCACCTTCCATCATGCCCTTCCAACAGTCAACATCTGCCTTGATATATTCCATGGTGACTGGATTGAGGTGCCTGAGTTACCCTTGTGGCTATAAATGCCGTGGTATGTTCCCGATTTTCTTTGTTCCATATGCAGTAGGTTTTAGCATATTAGGGAGAAACTCTGCCCAACAAGTGAAGTGACCGAAAAAGGCACACATCAATTTATAACTCGCTATTAAAGTAAGGTGCCCATGAAGGGGCTTTACACAGTACAGACACAAGAATTTCCCAGCACACTTACCAGCCAGCCTAAAAAAAAACAAATTACACTATTAACATTAAAAGAGAACTATGGGGTAACTTCTTTTATCCCATAGTTCTCTTAGGCTGGTTCACACCTGAGCGTATTTATTCAGCTCGTTTTTTAGCAAGTTTTTCCATTCAGAGAAACGCGCGTTTTACTGGCGGTACGATTTTTTTTTTCTCCTTATTTTCTCTATTTTTTACTTTCAAACTTCCCGCCGGCTCCGCCCCCCTGCGACACGGCCGCTCGCAAGGGATAGAAGTCGGCAGCCGCCGGAGGACACAGCGGGGATCGCGGACAAGACCTGTACGCTGTATTCCCCAGTGTGGCCCGGGGTTACCGCTTTGTTAACCCCGATCCACACTCGGGAATACCAATGGAAACGCGTGGAAAAACGCCCCAAAGAAGCTCCTGTACTTCTTTGGGCGTAGGGCGTTTTTCAGTGCGTTCCTACGCGCTGTAAAACGCCCAGGTGGGAACCATGCCCATAGACAATTATTGGTTTTCACATGTTGAGCGTTTTACAGCGCGTAGGAACGCACTGTAAAACACCCAGGTGTGAACCAGGCCTTAAGGGTCACGGGAGGACATATATTAGCGTCCTCCCGTGACCCAAAGCTCAGAGACAGTCACCGCTCTCTGCAGGGAGATGATCGGAAAGTGAGCGAGCGACGGTATGCGTTCGCTCACTTCCCCATCTATAGAGCCGACCTGTGACAGTTTCATTGTCACACGTCGGCTCGAACTATAAGGGGGCGTGAATATCACTCGCCTCATAGTCCTCCTTTAATAACAGAGGTTTTAGTTGCACAACTTGTACAAAATATGTGGAAGCCACACTGCCTTGTCATGGCTCCTCAGTGTAGTGCGGTCCTAACTTTAATCAATGAGAGCAAAGGATGACTTGGACGCAGGTATATCTGGAGGCACGTGAATATCAACCAGGAGCTCAGCACATCACAATGGCACCTGAAGCCACCAGTGTGTCCCCACACCAAATCCAACAATGGAAGCAAATGTCAACCATACACATCGATTTATAATTAGCTTTTGTTTTAGGTTCAGATGAAAGGCCTTTACACAGGGCCTTACTCTGCCCAGCCAAACTCCTCACACCTCTGATATTACAGTAAATATCAGGGCTTTCTTCCCTTCTCCACTTGGGAGTTGATAATACTATGTTTGTGTCTCCAAACCCTTGAGAGTCCTATATAAAAATATGTGGAGAATGCACAACCAGCAACCAGCTCTCATAGCTGAATAGAGGTTGTTCAGATCTCCCTGCCAGACTAATAAAACACCAGCCCCCACTGGTGATTAAAACCTTTCATTTTAAATGAAAACAAGATATGAATGGGGTTCTGTTTTAAAGTGACCGTCCACCCACAGCTGATATTTCAGTTGTTGGTAGATACTGGCGCATAAACCCCCCTGACAGTCTCTTGGGTACCCTATTAATGCTTGTATTTCTGGGTGTGTACACCTGGTGAGTCCATTACAATGCTGTTCCATTCTCCCTGTTTATTAATTTTATATAATGGAGATTGCAACAGGAGGTGCTGTGACACACAAAGTGGGGCTAGAACACCCAAAAGGACAGAAACTGTCTGGAATTTCTGCAGGGAGATCTCACTGTTGGAGTATCCAGAATGTAAAAGAAACCATGGGCCGACTCAGCCAACTTCATTTCCCCATAACAAAAATATCACTTTTTGGCAGACTAACGGATTAAAATATTTAAAGAAATCATCAGCTCGTGATTTATTATTCTTTGACAGAAAACAATGCCTTAAGCTGCTGAAGCATTTACTGGAACTACTTAAAAATAATGGAAAACAGCGAAGAAAACTGGATAAATTCTGTTCGTATTATGCAAAGACTGCCTTGCTTCACCACTGTGCACAATATCCTAAAGATGAAGATTGGAAACTGGAAGACCTAGATGTGTGTTTTAACAGATATGTACAGTTTTTTCAGTTGTGTCTTAAAAAAGCATGTCTACCAAATTTCTTTATACCGTCTCATAATCTCTTCAATCTGGAGAGTGTTGATTGCAACTTGCTTTATGATCAAATAGATGATCAAATAAAACACAATTATCCACTGTTTCACTTGTAGACCTGGACCCTGGCTCTTAACAATGGACAGGCTTTAGATGTTGAGGGTCCCACTGGCAATGCAACGTGTCCAAGCTGCATGATGCAATCAAGGAAGATACTTCTACCTCAATCTAAAAGCTGGATGTTTTTCGCAGGTCACTTTTGGCGATATAATCAAACCTTTGGTCAAATACTGAAATTCACAGTTGATATACATATATGTTTACGGTCTTACCTGCCAACAGATTTGAAATGATTAGGGATGTACCGAAATTAAATTTTTTAGACAAACTGAAAATAAAAATCTTGTCAGGCCGAAACGGAAAATTACTTTTTCCAACCTTAAAATTTTTTAAATTATTATTTATTCTAATTTTTTTTTTTTACAACTGTTAGGGGCTTTGGGGAAATATCAGGGATCTAAAACAGACCCCTGATATTTCCCTTTTAAAAAATAGAAAAAGAGATTGGGGACGGAGAGTCCTATATCTCTTTTTCTGCAGCCCCTGTTATAAACAGGAATCCTCTATACCAGTGGTTCTCAACCTTTCTAGGGCCGGGACCCCTTGGTAATATTTTCCAAGTTGGAGTGACCCCCAACGGAGCGCTGGACTCCAGAATTAGTAAGGCACTGGACTCGGGACTGAAAATAGAAGCACACTCGCAAGAATACAAGCCCTCCCCAGCCCCTGCTCGGTGTCCATGCAGCCTTCTCAGCCCCAGCACTGCTTAGACACCCGCCTCCTGCAGAGCTCACATTGCATGAGAGGCAGGAGGACAGCCGCGGCTGTGAATAGAAAAGCCCTGCTGTACACACTCGCCGGCCACTAGATGTCGCTGTAGCGGCCAGGGAGTGTGTATAGCGGCACTTTGATATTCACAGCCACTGCTGTCCTCTCCCTGACTGACACTGATGCGCTAGGAGGAGGCTGAGGAGCCTCTCACCTAGCACAGCAGAAGTGGATGCTGCGACCCCTTCAACAGTGACAAAATTGTGTGTATCTTCCTGCACTCCTTACCGGATCTCCTAGGAGATGATGTCTGTAATAGGGTGCTTGTAGCGACCACGGAGGCACCGTGTAGTCAAGTAGTAATTCCAAAAGATGTCAGGAAGTGGTTGCAGTCATTGTTATTAAGGTGGGTGAGTCAGATCATTGAATGCCATATCTCACCCTAGTCACTTTAATTTTACCTGCATCCAGTGATTTAGGTGCCAGAGAAGCTTAAAGTGATATTAAAGTCAAAAGGTTTTTAAGCCATTTTAAATGCTGATGAAATCACTTACAATGAATGCTGCTTCTTGTTTAAAATGTTAGTTTCCTGCAGAATCAGCTGGTCCCCTGAGCTCTGGTCCTATTTTAGGGAGTCTCCTTTCCCCTGCAAGATCCTATGGAGCCACCCTTGTGTGTGCGTCTCTACAAACACACACGCACGATACACTGCTGCTCCCCGCCCGTTCTTTCCCTAATCAAGAGATGGACAGCTACTGGTGGCTGATCTGTCTCTTGTGATCTTGTACTGAAAAGGAAGTTCATGGAAGCCAAGCTGAGTGAGTTGGAGCCAGCTGTTCTGAAACAGGACTAAGCACTTGGGTAAAATTGTAAAAATACTTTGCAGGGCAATGTATATTTGATCTTGATTTATTATTGAAAAAAGTTTGAGCATTTAATATTACTTTATATATATTTTTCATTACATTATTATAAAAAGAAAGTTAACAATGTGCAATAAACAATTAACTTTGAACAAAGTACAAAGTGTCAATTTTTTTTACATTCAAAACTACAATGGGGTATTCGCATCAATAAGGATGTAGAATACAGGTAAGATACAGTATCAGCAATATAGCATGTCTATTCCAGGTGTTCAAAGGACGCCACAAAACGGTTGTCAGCAAAACTTAAAATAAAATAGTCAATTACAAAATACATTAAAGAAGAGTAAAAAGATGTGATAGATGAAAGAAAGAGGGGGTAAGAAAAAAGAGGGGAGAAAGGGGTAAAACACAAAAGATGATAAAAGAAAATAAGGAAAAAGAAAGAAAAACTGGGGAAGAAGAAAGAAGGGAAAAATACTAATAGGGTTATTCACAAAAGGGTGAAGAGTTTGGAGAAGGCGGGAGAAGGGAACAATCTAGGACAACAGCAAATTTGGAAAAATTCTCCAATTCAGCTCACTTTCCAGTTCAGCTTTGTTGTCCTAGGTTGTTCTTCTCCAAACTCTTCACCCTTTAGTGAATAACCCTGTAAGAAAGTCTTACACTTGGGCCTTGCATCTATTCCCACCATAAATGAAAGAAATGAATATTACTTTAACCACTTGAAGGCCACTTGTTAAACCCCCTTCCTGACCAGGCCATTTTTTCAGTATTCAGCACTGCAGTACTTTGACTGACATTTATTCCGTCATGCAACGCTGTACTGAAATGAATTTTATACCATTTTCTGGGGACAGATGGAGCTTTCTTTTGGTGGTATTTAATCACTATAAAATGAAAAAAAGTACAGAAAAAACTTTGAAAAAAAGAACTTCCCTACATTAGGTTATCAAACATTACACACATTTTTGGTCAAATATAAAATATGGGGTCACGTTGAATAAATACAAATATAGGGCACCGGCACTCCAAATATAGTGCGTCTTTTATTGAAGTAAATGCAGCATATTACATAAATGCAACATTTCGGGGTCACGCATGATCCCCTTCTTCAGGCAAGACATGTGATACAGCGTAAGAAAGAACACAAATATACACTCACCGGCCACTATATTAGGTACACCTGTTCAACTGCTTGGTAACACAAATTGCTAATCAGCCAATCACATGGCAGCAACTCAATGCATTTAGGCATCTAGACGTGGTGAAGACGACTTGCTGAAGCTCAAACCGAGCATCAGAATGGGGAAGAAAGGGGATTTAAGTGAATTTAAACGTGGCATGGTTGTTGATGCCAGACAGGCTGGTCTGAGTATTTCAAAAACTACTGATCTACTGGGATTTTCATACACAACCATCTCTGGGGTTTATAGAGAATGGTCCGAAAACGAGAAAATATCCAGTGAGCAGCAGTGGACAAAAATGCCTTGTTGATGTCAGAGGAGAAGGGGCAGACAGGTTTGAGATGATAGAAAGGCAACAGTAACCACTCGTTACAGCCAAGATATGCAGAATACCATCTCTGAACAGACAACACCTTGAAGACCACACCAGGTGCCACTCCGTTCCGCTAAGAACAAGAAACGGAGGCTACAATTCACACAGGCTGACCAAAATTGGACAATAGAAGATTGGAAAAACGTTGCCTGGTCTGATGAGTCTCAATTTCAGCTGCGACATTCAGATGGTAGGGTCAGAATTTGACGTAAACAATATGAAAGCATGGATCCATCCTGCCTTGTATCAACGGTTCAGGCTGGTGGTGTAATGGTGTGGGGAATATTTTCTTGGCATACTTTGGGCACGTGAAGCTATTTTGTCAATATGGACCAAATTCTCTGAGGAATGTTTCAGACACCTTGTTGAATCTATGCCACAAATAATTAAGACAGTTCTGAAGGCAAAAGGGGGTCCAACCCAGTACTAGCAAGGTGTAACTAATAAAGTGCCCGGTGAGTGTATATATACCAAATGAATGACACCAGAAGCTATCACAGCACTCTACTGCCCTCTATGAGGTCATAATCCTGCCAGAACTCAAATAGACATGCATGCAAGAATAGCTGATTGAGCCACATATACAACTCAAAGGAATTGTGTCATCAAAGCAATGTTATACTGTGCCAACTCATGTCCTTGCTGCCATTTCACAAAAACGCCTGTTCTAGGCAGGCTGCTCGTTTCTAGGGGGCGTTCAGTGCTGACAAGTGAGAGTGGTATACAAGCTTGTCCTCTGCTCCTGCTCAGCTCCACCTCTGCCATCAATCCATCATGGAGAGCTGCACACGCCTCCAGGGCGTAGATTTAGCCCAGCCTCAGTTCCCATAGTGGCATTGGCACACTAGCTGGGAAGAGCTGCACATGCCCCGTAGGCTTGTCCTCTGCTCCTGCTCAGCTCCACCTCTGCCATCAATCCATCTGCTCCCTGGAGGCGTGTGCAGCTCTCCCTGATGGATTGATGGCAGAGGTGGAGCTGAGCAGGAGCTCTTCCCAGCTAGTGTGCCAATGCCACTATGGGAACTGTGATGCTGGGCTGAATCCATGCCGTGGAGGCATGAGCATCTCTCCCTGATGGATTGATGGCAGAGGTGGAGCTGAGCAGGAGGCAGAGGACAAGCCTACAGGGCGTATGCAGCTCTTCCCGGCTAGTATGCCAATGCCACTATGGGAACTGTGAGGCCGGGCTGAATCTACACCCTGGAGGCGTGTACAGCTCTCCCCGATGGATTGATAGAGTTGGAGCTGAGCAGGAGCAGAAGACAAGCTTGTATATCACTCCCACAATGAAATATGACGACCTGGAGGTGTTCCGTACACCGTTGTGTGCAGAATTCCTCCAGAAATGTCACTTCCTACTTCTGAGATTGACTGACTGATTTTCCTAGAAGTATGCACTGAGATACAAGTACAATTTTAGGCATCCCTTGCAATAGGAATTTCATTTTTGGTGAGATCCTTTCTAAGGGTTAATTACTGCTAAAGGGATGCCGACACTGCAACTTTCCCTATTATAACACAGGAAGCAGACCAGCTGATTATAATGAACCCAGACCCTCCTATTCAGGAATCAGTTTGGAAAGGACATGCTGCAACAACCAGCTATTTCTTCTGAACAGAAAGAGGTAGGAAACTGCAACAAGGTGTGTTAAATTCCTTGCAATGTACCCAGATCACCCATAGGATTCTTTTTTTTTCCTCCAGAAAGGTGGAATTACTCTTTAAAACTGTATTTTAATATGCTTATAATTTGCTTTTCCTGCCCCACCACCACCTTTCATCATCAAAATGCTAATAACTCTTTTAAAATATAAAACCTATTTTCATTACTTACCCTATTTTAGATACAATGACATCAATGGGTCTGTGCTTCTCTATCCAATGCCAGAGCAGCG